AGAAATTAAATCCTCTGATAAAAACTACAAAGATATTCTTGCATAATTTAAAATACCACTATAGAATAGTTCATTATTACCAAATGGTATTTTTTATTTATTATTTTTTAGTTGAGCCAGATCGTACTATACTTAGGATTTGTTAGAATCCTTTATTAGAAGCATCAGGAACACTTATCTTAAAAGGAAAATTTATAAACCATTATGGTAAAGATTTGAAACCTTTATTTAAATCTAAAGGAAGTTACTTTTTAGAAGACTTATTGAAAAAGTGATTTTGATCATTATCAAACAACAAATATAATTTCAATCTTTATCGTATATTTTTTTTTTAATTATGTCTTTATTAGTTTCACTCTTAAACTTCGCTTCTAAAGCTAGGTAAGTTCTTATTTAACAAATTTTGTTTCCATTTAAGTCATTTCTACACTTCATTGATTTTTATATTATTCAAATATAAGATCAATAATAAAAAATGTTATCAATTTTGCTTGATAGTGATTTAAATATAAATAGAGAACAGTAAGCACGACGAAGAGATTAAAATAATGTAACGAAAATGCATGCTCATTTATCATTTAAGATATTATGATAGATTTGCTTAAGCTATTACTATTTATAAACAGGGTTAGTCTGAAAGATTCTTATTAATAATTAAGTAAAATTAGTTTATAAAAAGGAAAAGATACAATTAATAACAAAGAAAAGAAAAAAGATAAATAAATAATTTAATAAAATGAAGTTAATATTAGAAATAATCTAAACTACAAAAAAGTTTAAGCAAAAAATTGAATTTTTTAAATCACTCTATTCTTGGTAATATTTTAATAACCTTTATAATTATCTATCGATTGATATTAAAAGTATTAGATATTAAAAAAGACTGAAAAGGTAAATTCATCATCAAAAAAATATTATAATTTTGAAATCATTAACATTTAAAGATTTAGTTCTATATGGATTCTTACATACATTCAAAGGAGCAGCTTACTACAATAATTTTCAATACCTATGTGTTAAATAATTGTATATTTATTTCTTTAAGGGATATTTATTTTTTTACTAATTATATAATTTGATGATTTAAAAGTTTGAAACATTCATCATGGTTGATCTTTTTTTTATTAAATTTATAATTTATGCATTTTTATTAATAGTCTACACTTTTTTATGACTCTGCAATACTTTAAATTAGTGTTGTCTTATTATTTCAAAAGATTTTATCTAAATAAGGTATAATTTATATTTTTTAATGATATTTTAATTTTTCGTAAAATAATGAATTTCACTTTTTTCTTATTTATGTTATTCTGTTAATATAATTTTGTATATTTTCAATAAAATGAATTGTTCAAAAATTGAAGTTTGTTAAAGGCAAAACAATATTACATCCCCTGTCAAAACACCAACCACAATGTCATCGCCAACGCCACTCTCCAAAATTCAGTTTTCTGCCTTGGCCCGACCATAATACTATTGCCAGGTAGGTATAGCTATTATTATTATTATAGTAAAAACCAACCCACTTTTTTACATAATTTCTCTTAGCTCACACAGAACAATAAAATCGTTTTTTATGATTGATTCTCAAATTGAAGTTTAAGTTCATATAAAATATATTAGAAACATAAGTAAAAAAGTAATTTTGCATAAATATTTGATTGTTATATATACAACTATTTCTAACAGCGTTTGATATAACGTTCTATCAAGGTAGATTAAATGTCGAAATTACCAATCTAAATAAATATTTTTTATTCATAAATTATTCCAAAAAAACTTTAGATCTGATTTTCATAAAGCCTTATTTATTACAATCCATATCCTTTTCCTTTTTCTAGTTTCTAATATATATGTAATAAGGAGCATTTTACTTTATATAATTAAAGCTTTTTTTATTGATCAAATATTCTAAATACATTTTATTTTGAATTTTTATTTTACTTTTTTAATTTTAATACATGAATAATCATAATAATTATGATTATTATTATTATATTTTTATTGAAATCTAAACTAGCTCGATAGTTGTTTATTAAGTCAGAATCATATTAATCTATGACAATGTTGGAAATTAATTTCAGAATTTATGAATTAAATCAATTGCATATCAAGGGAAAAACCATTTGAAAACAACATTATAGGAAAAACTATTAGGGTTTTATTATGGGTATTATCGTTTAGAAAATAGATCTAAAGAGGATTGATTAAATTAATTTAAGGCAATAGAATTATTCATTTTTAAAGGAAATAATGAAATTAATGAAAAGGATGAGTCAAATATAAAAAAATTAATTATAAGATGATAATTCTCAAAATTCAACCAAAGAACCATGAGATGTTGAAGAAAAAAACTTGAGCATAAATCAAATTTATAAATTCTTGGAGAATTATATAATTGAAAATTTTAATATTAAATAATTGAATTTTGTAGATATGAAGTTTTAAAATACTTTTCTTTTTTATCTTTCCATTTTGCTTTGTTCGATCTTATGCGAATAATGTAATGAAGACTTATTAATTAATCATTAGAATCTAGTAGAAACAACTCTGATTGATGATTTATAGGGTCAGACTCAATTAGAATTTTGGAGTTTTTATGTAACATATTCTGAAACATTTATTTCGCATTAAGTAAATTAAGAATCATAGATATTGTTTTAAATGAAAAATCAGGATGATCCTAGTGTATGGGCATTAATAGAGAGAAATTTAATTACAAAATCATATGTAATCCATACAATAAAAGTTGATTCATAAATGTAGTAATTAGAATATGATCCTGGAGATTATGAAGGAGTTTGAAAATTACATGTTATTACATTTGATAACAACATCATGTCATATGAAGCTTATGGTACTTTAATGCATACTTATATATTATTTTTTTAAGTGAATAAAAAATTAAAAGACATAGAATGTAGTGTTGGAGCATTTCTAATAGTATATTTTTTTTAATTTATTTAGTTTAATGAAAGGCTTGAATTCAAATTCTTTACAGAAAGGCTTTCCAAACTATTCCTCAATCCCTATAAAAGAGATATTTAATAAATATATGATGAAAGAATCTATTAATTAAGAGAAAAGGAATATGAAGAAACAATAAGTTTGATTCCCAATTTGTTTAATTTTGATGGTATAATATAAAGAGAGTTTGAATTCTAATAATTTGGAAAAAAATTTAGTATTTTTGGATGGGTTAAATACTCTACCAATGAGGCATATCAATTAAAAAAATATTTATTAGTTAGATTAAGTCTTTTCAAAGGTTACAAAGATGAAATAAATGTAGGTGATGAAATAGTTAAAATCACAACAGATATAGATCTATCTAACAATTAAAATTGTGGGTATGATGTTATATCTCATCATTATTGGATTCCATATCCCAATTAGATAAATGAATAAGTCTTAGAAAATAAAATAAGATTAAGGGAGGATTTACCGTATTTGTAAATACTGGCCCAATCGCATTTCATCTAATTTGAATATGGATTAGATAGAAAAGATTAAAGATCAAAATTTTAAATATGTTATTTTGATAATTAAAAATCAAATCTAAATAATATTATCTTGGAAATAGTTAATATTACTATTGCTTAAAACTTGAGAGGTTAACTAGCGGGGTTTTATTTAAATCAAATTATCCTTACGATTTAGATATTTAATTATGTATCAAATATTTATATTTCTAGTTTGCCACTATAGTTGTAAAACTTGCAATGGCCCATTAAATTCAAATTGTTTATCTTTTCATGATAATAATGAACGAGTATTTTTGGAAGATATTCATTAATGTGTATGTCCAATAGGATAATTTGAAAAAATGAATAATGTTTCTCTGATTCTAATCTATATCCAACATTACAATATCTGGAGATATAAAAAGAATTCTAAATTTCTTAATGCTCATTTGGGTATTTTTATTTTCCAGCAACTAAACAATGCATTAAATGGTAATAATTAAATAATTATTTAGCCCACAATGGAGTTCCTATAATTTATTTTGCATAGATTGCTTTTTGAATCCTTTAATTTGGTATATAAGACCTATCTGTACTACAGATTTCATCACATAATAAGTATCTTTAGACCAACATGCATAGACTTAATAAATCAGATCTCCTCTTCATTATGATCTTTATTACATTGACAGAAATTTTCAGTTATTGTTATTGGATGGAGTTTATGAGTATTGTGATATCAAAGTTCTATTAATAAATGAATGTGAAGAATTAGATGTTTAACATTTATAAAGTAAAGTATATGGATTTTGTAGAAAAAATCGATATTACAAAGGTTTTAGATGTAATTTGTTGGATAAAGCCTGTATTAATGTTGATAAATTTGAATAAAAATGTCTTGAATGTTTAAGTGGGTATTTTATATCAGATGATGGTAAATCTTGTTAATAATGTCCTAAATCCTGTTAAAATTGTTAAGGCTTAAACAAATGTTCATCTTGTAAAACGTATTTTGGATTAAAAAATGGAGAATGTGTTACATGTGGAAATTTTTGCAAAGTTTGCAAAAATTAAGGTTCTGATAGTATTATGTAAAGTCTGAGTTGTATTGACAATCAATTATTTTATTTAACTTTAGATGCAGAAAATTGCAAAAGAAATGAAATAGAAAATTGTTAATACGCATTTGAAGAGGCTCCATAATTTATATTTCTTAATTCTTTAGACTATGATTTTAATCGATATAGTTATCCTGATATAATAAACACTCTATGTGCAAAATATAAAGACGGTTACTATTTTAATGATTAGGAAAAAAGTTGTTTTAAAGGTGAATTAGATAATTGCGAATAATTTTATGAAAAACATCAATCATTTTCTTTTCAGCGGATTGGTTTATTTGGTCCTTATTGTAAAGATACTTTTGTTTACTCATTTAGTGATTAATGCCAGAGTGTCAAATTAGATTGTATTGTTTGCTTAGTTGACTAAGAAACCCTAAAGACTGTTAATAATAGAATAATTCGAAAGTAAGCTTCATACATCTGTCTTGATTGTGAAAAAGGTTATTATGCAGAAAAATTAACAGGTTATTGTTAATAATGTCCTTTAGAATTACATTGCCTAAGTTGTTATTAATAGAATAAATATACTAAAGATAACTGGAAAAATTAGATTCTTGCCTTTTACAGAATTTACTTTAATTTATTTGAAATCTAGCATAAATTTACAGAATATGGGTTAAGTTAGGATAAGAATGATTATGAGATACTTTGTTTAATATGTGAATAAGGGTATGAATTTCATGGAGATAAATGTATTAAAGCCTGCCCTGAATCTTGTTTAGAATGTTAAGTAGTGAATTATGTTAATATTTGCGTTAAATGTCTTAAAGGTTTAAAAAAAAGGAGTATTAGTTTAATAGATAATTAATGTGTTGAATGCCCACATAATTGTTAATTGTGTTAAAAAAGAGAAGATAGTTAAGTACATTCTATTAATCCGCTCTTCAATAATATAGAATTGTAATTTTACTCATACTATTGTATATCTGGTTATGGCGGATATTATGATTAAGAATTAGGTTTATATTTATATTGTTAAGATGGTCCATGCTTAAAACAAATTGTAATCAATTTAAATTTAATTTGTGGAAAACAATAGTATTATGATTATTATGAATAATTGAATTAGTTTGAAAATGAAGAAGATAGAATAAGATTTACACAAGAAAATATTTTAAGTAATCAATTATTTTCCTCCTCTAGCTTTACATAAGTAAATAATCATTTAAGCAATTTAGTTTGAAACAAAAGAGCTTTATTAGTTAGCTAATGAAAAATAAATTAAACAAATATTAATAAAAATATTCAGTCAATAAAGTTAAAGATGCGAAGTTAATTATTTATAACAGATTTCATAAAATTTTAGTTCAAATATTTTTTCAGCTATGTATTAATAATTATTAAGTAAACTAGAGACATAGAACTTGAAATTTATGGTTATGGAATTACAACATTTAGATTTTATAAATAACTATTATTTATAAACTTCAAAAGAATACATATTGAAGGAGTAATAATAGAAATAGGTTATTATTAATTTGGACCAAATTTATTAAGATTTTCAAGTGTTTTTGAATAGACTATTGAATTGGTTGATTTGACATATTTATAAGATTTTAAATTGATTACTTGTTATGTTATAATGGAAAATGCTATGAATGTTTTAATACAAAATTTCGGATTAAAAGATTGCAAAAGACAATTTCCTATTGAAGCTTTTGTAAAGATTAAATAAATATAATCCTAGTAGACAATAAAAATATTGAATTTTAGTATTAAAGATAGCAAATTTATGAATATAAATGTATTTTAATTTGATCTCAAAGAAAATGATAAAGTAAAAATACTAAACTTAAGGATTGAAACAACAATTTTCAATCAAGCATTAATATACTCAGGTACAATAATAAATTATTATTGTATTTAAAAAGAAATTAGTTATCAGATTTCATAATAATTTTTTAAAATTTTAAATTATTAAATCAATTTTATATTATTAATCAATTATATA